CACACACACACACACACACACACACTTACTGCCTTGCACAGTGGCACCTTGCTTAAGAGAGTCATGCTTATCACTGTCATTTGACAGCCTGTTTGTCTGTTTTCTTCTAGGAGACTGTCGCTGAAACCCTGAAGCCTCTGGCAGACCGAACAGAGAATCATGAAGAAAGTCTTACATCTGCAGCAGGTGCTCTTCACAATAAATCTGAGGATGTCTTTCATACTAACTTATTATAAGGTTTAGCTTTGTTGATTTCCCTTACAACTTTTATTCATTTTCTTTCTTCTCAAAATGTCAAACCAAAATGTAATATAAAAATTTTTAAAGTCAATTGAAGTGAAGCTCATCACTCTGCATGGACATGCTGTTGTCTGAAGTCAGAATTGCTCCATTGCAAATGTTCAAGATCAAAATGTTTCCCTTCTTTCCTCCTGTGTCTGCTTGTCAAGAGCCAGACTCTGGAGCAACTCAGGCTGCAAGGGGTGAAGCATCTACAGAGGGCTCCCCTGCGGAGGAACACCTGGTAAGACAAGAATACACATCATTTTCTATCATGTTATAGTTTTTAAATTATGCCTGAGTTGTGTCCTTGGATTAGAGGGAATTGTGTCTGGAAAGTTACAGAAAAAGTAATTTAATTTGATGAGGATGAGGAGGAAGCAGTCTTCCTTGTCTGCATTTTGAAGCAGCCATGAGTCTGTATTGTTCCCAGCTATTAATACAGGTCATAGTTATCTATCGCTTCAACCACCACAGTGACCCTTTTTATGAAGTCTATACAATAACCACCATATTAACCATATTTCCTAAAATGAACTTTTGTTTTTGAATTTGTTGCTTTCCTACTGTTAAAACCAAAAAATGCTCAAATATAAGGTGCCCTAAAACCTCTGAGTGGCAGTATTATGCATTAAGGATTTAATGACTTTCCAGGTATCAGAAGAAAAAAGAGTGGAGCTGATTGGAGACACAAGCACAGAGCAACACGCCTCAGTGCCGTCTGACCTCAGCGATGCCACTGTTCCAGCTTCTCTAGAAGACACTGGCAGCTCTGCTCCGGGCAGCGATGCCCTCAACCTCTCGGGGGGGCCACCCCAGGGCCCAGCACCGTCCAGCCCTGATCCTGATTCTTTCTGTGACTCCTACACCCACATGACCCCCTCCTCTGATGAGCCCCCAGCCTCACATCTGACAACAGAGACTCTGGGAGGGGGCGAGTTTACACAAGAAGAAGAGAGGCTTGCAGAGGAAGGAACAGTGCATCAGATTAATGGTGAAGAGCTACAACAGAAAGATGAGTCAGACCTGTCTTCAAGAACGAGTGACCTAGGGAAACAGGCAGGTATGAACAGTAACTCAGACGCCATTATTACATTATTATTTGAATGACCTCATTAAAAGTTTTTTATATACATGGCAAAGATCATCACCTGGTATGCCTGCATCCTTTCCTCTCTTTTTTTGGAGACTAAGCACTATGTACTTATTTATGTTTGAAGTGTACTTGGTGGACCAGCTGGTTATGGACTTGTTCAGTATCTGGGCCAAGAGGTTGTCTGGAGAGGCTGTGGTCGGTATGAGGAAGGGAGCATGATGTGACAGAGTAACTCTGCATGTACTCAGCAGCGAGGCTGCTGCATGACACCCTGCAGAAGTAAATTGGGTTCAGAGGGACTGGGACCTCCTAAAATGTTTTTGCAGTGTGGTGCTTTTTGTCTGCAGCTCTTTCTCACTACAGCAGTAAAATGATTATTTTGCTCTGCTTTGCAATCTTTCATATTCTCTTTGTTTACCAACAGGGTTTAGTGTCAATGAGTTCTTTTCAGTGTTTTTTTATCGTCGCTGTGCTCTTTAACAGCAGTGTGGGATGCAAATAATTTGGAAAGCTAAAATACTGTTGTTTCGAGTTGCCAGGAATTTCAAAATGTAACATTTGAATCACTTGTTTATGCTGTTAAATGGAAACTAAGAAATTGGGCACAGCAGAGCTAATAAAAAAAGCAAGTCTTGCGTCCCATGAGGTCTCATACTGCAGAATCAGAACAGTTACAACACCATACCTGCTGTAATCCATCTATTATCAAATCTGCGTGCCAGAGCAAAGTCGTACCCTATGATGTGCAACAGTTCTTAAAAATGATAAATACATCAGTGGATGCTTATAAAGTAAATGATGAGCTTTTTCACAATTACTTTGTAAATTATTAAATTTACTTGTAATAGTGTAAAATCAGCTTTTTATACTATTTCCATTTCTGCTCCAGACTCCCCAGTGGATTCAGAGGTGGGTGAGGAGAGGACTGAGAGGACAGAAGAGGAGGCAGAGCCAGAGGTGAGGAGGAGGAGGAGGTCTCTCTTGGCATCTCTGGACCGGATCGGTAGGACAGAGGAGGAAGATGAAAGAGAGGAAGAGTTTCAGGTGCCACAGCGAGACGACGACAGCGGATTCTCTGTGAACAAGTGCATCCTTGCTGCCGTCATTCTGTTAGGCCTCGGCACTATCTTTTTCTCCGGTAGGCATCGCGCTTTGACTTGTTGCTAACGATAGCATCCAATCCTAATTCATAAAAGTCATTTTAGATGGATTTCAAAATGTGACAGTAAAGCTAGAAAGAGGGAAGAGGGGCTGGAAGTGGTATAGAACATGGTCATGTTGCAATTGAGGTGTACTGTATCTGCAGGTGTCTTCATGGACCTGAATGAGGGTAGGTTGTTTTGTTGTATATGCATGAGGGGATGAACACGTGCTTCCTTGCCCTGCTTGTGTTTGTTTGTGTGGATATGCATGCAGTTAAAACAGTTTGGCATCTGACACCAATATTTGAAGCACTGCATGATTTGAATGGTCGCAACAAGGCGTATTTGCTGTTGAGAATGAAAACCTTGTACCACAGTGTAAACCATTAGCTTAAGCTTGACCTTCATGCCTTTCAAAGTTAATTTGTAGGTTTATCCTTGGCATGAAAACATTTTAAGAACATACAGCATGAGGTAAACATTGAAAATGAAAAACAGCTAAATTGAAGATACAAGGTTGTCAACCAGCAATGAATGTATTGCCCTTAACCTTTCTTTTACATTGTAATGACATTATGCAGTATACATGCCGTGAGCATGAGCAACACACATCTCATTATCTGGATTTTTTTTTTTTTTTGAGTAGATACCACATTTTTTAATGATGAGCAATGAAGTGTAAAGCATCTGCTTGTGTTCTTTGTCACTGTATTTTTGCATATTGAAATAAAGCTTTACATAATGGTTTTCAGAGAGTGACTATGGGACAAGGGAGCTGAAAGATTCTGAGGCTCCAGGAAAACAGGTCAGTGTGATGTCAACTTTTTCTACTATTCCATTCTGTCTGTTCTTTATAGTCTAACTTTGATATGTTATACCTGCAATGTTGTGGACAAGAAGTGCCATGGCAAGAATTTATTGTTAGATGTGCTCAGTAGGAGTCCACCCACAACGCTGGCAGTATTGCTGCTATTTTCTGCCTCCTGTGCCTCTCTGGATTTGTTTTCCCCATTTCATCAACATGTACTGTTCTCGCACTTCTCGACTAATCCGTTTGACTTTAATGATGTTGAGAAGTCTTCTTAAGCCCTGACACTGTTGTACTGTGTGTGCAATTTGTTGACAGGAGTGGCTTAATCCAGAGGTTCCTCCACCTCCAGTCGATGCTGACAGTACAGAGCTGCTAAATAAGTTAGCTGAAGGGAACCAGCATATTTCTTTGCTACAAGCCCAAGTTCAGGTGTGACTCCATGCTTTCTCTTACTTAATTTCTCCCCTCTGTGTTTGTGTGTGTTCACGTACATACTGTATAAACACGATTATAATGTATGTCCATATAAACGTGTCTGAGTGTTTAATAGTCTCACAGGACTGTCTTTTTCTTTAAACAGGCAAAGGAAGAAGAGCTAAAAGTGGCCAAGGGACTGGCAGCAGAGGGTGCAACGGAGCGGCTGCAGTGGGAGGAGGTGGAGAAGGAAAACAGTAGGTTGAAGACAGAGATGGCATCTCTCCCTGTTCTTCAGAAAGAGAATGAGAGGATGAAGAGAGAGCTGGAGTCTGTCCTGGCCCTACAGAAAGAACTAGAAACACTGAGATCGACTGTGACTGAATTAAAACGCTCCTCAGGTACAAAGGGATGGAGGTAGGGATTGGGCGAGGTGCAGGGTAGATGTAGAAGATGATAGTTAGTAGAAAGTTAGGGAAAGACTGGGATTTTTCATTCTTTTACTCTCCTATTTTCTCACTTGACTGTTCACTGTTCACCTCTGTAGCTGTAACAACCACTTTTGTTTCCCACAGCAGCCACTGAAGCCACCCAAGCACCTGTGAAGTCCACAACATCGCCCTCCAGTGGTCAGGCAGAGGAGAGCAGACAGGACACAAATAAAGAGGGAGAGGACAGGAAACCATGGAAGGACCAGAAAGAGAAGAAGACGGATTGGAAGAAGGAGAAATATGACACTGGTGAAAAGAAGGAGTGGAAAGAGAGAGAGAAATCTGAATGGAAGGAAGGAGAGAAAAAGGAGCGCAAAGATAGAGGTAAAACGGAATGGAAAAAGGGAAAACATGAGCAAGGGAAGTCTGACAAGGTGAAAGATAAGGAAGGTAAACAGGAGAGGCACAGCGATGTAACGAAACAATACAAGGAGAAGGAGAAGATGAAAGAAAAGGTGAGCGGAGGTGATGAAGGAAAGTCATGGAAGGCGAGGGAAGGAAATAAGGAATGGATAGAGAAGACTGAGAGAAAAGATCGGAAGGAAGTGAAAGACTGGAAAAAGGGGAAGCATGACAAAGTGAATGAGGGTCAGCAAGAGAAGAAGGGTTGGAAGAGGGGAAAGGACCATGGAGAGAAACACAATGGCAGGGAAGAAGGGAATGGAAAGAAAGAATGGAAGAAAGTGAAAGATGGCTTCAAGGAAAGTGGCAAAGAGAAATGGGAGTCGAAGGATTGGAAAGAGAAAGGTGAGAATAAAGAGTGGAAGAAAGATGAGTGGAGGGGTAAACATGGCAAAGAAGGGAAAAAAGGTGAAAGGAAACAGTGGGAAGAAAGTGAAAATCACAGCAGGAATGGTAAAGACAGGAAAATGAAGGATGAAAAGAAACAGTGGAAAGAGAATGAGTGGAAGGGTAAAGATGATAAGGAATGGAAGAGCAAGGATGAAAAGAAACCGTGGGAAAAGCAGGAAGAATGGAAGAGAGGGAAGAAAGAGAAAGATCGCAATTATGACGGGAAGAAGGACAAATCCAGCTCTCAAAAAAACAAAGATGAACACCATCATGACGAGCATGTGTGGGGAGAGGGGAAGGCCGCTCACACACACCGCCGCCCCTCCCTCGAACAGCCCGAGTACTGGGTCCAGCAGAGAGACCGGCTCCAGCACAAAACCAAACCACCACAGCAGTGCAACTCATTGGAGACCTGCGCTAAGAGTGAGGGGCTGCTTCCTGTCCCCCTCCCTGAGTTTGAAGCTATCCTCCAAATTTACCTAGACAAGGCAGAGGAGGCGGGAGTGGATGCTTCCAAAATAGAGGAGCTCAGAAAGCTGGCTCCAGAGTTCTTCAAGGATGGAGTCTTTGCTCATGACCAAATGAGCTTTCACGATTTTGTGGATGATGTGGGGGATATTCTGGAAGATATGGTGGAAGATACGGTGGAAGGGGACGAGAACGGGGAAGAGACGGACAGCGAAATCGAGGAAGAAATGGAGGAGTTTGAAAGAGATGTCATGAAAAGGTTTTCAGTCCCAGCAGCTGCAGAGAAAGAGGGAATCCAAGAGGAGAAGAGGAAGGAGAGCGGACGAGGACGTGGCTAAAGAATTAATGGATCCGTCAAAAGCAGCAAAGAGGAGTAGTGACAGAGGTTATTCAAAGGGAACATTTGTTTTTGGACCACAAAAGCGTATAAAGGATGCATTTATCATTTTGTCATCCTTTTTCTTTTTTTTTTTATAGGATCTTATATTACCACATCAGTGCGTTGTTTCGGTGCCGATTCAATTTACAGTTTAACTTCACTGATTTGGGAACTGTTTATTTCACCTGCACACATGCACACAGCGGGAGAGAGATGGCTAACTTATAGATCATAAGATTTCTTTGGGATGAACGTAAAAAAGATGAAGAGGCTGAAACCCTACATCTAGTTTCTTAGTTTTATGTTATTTTCTTCCTTCTCTCAATCCTGTGAGATTGAGCTGCTTTGACTCTCATCTCTGGAATAATATAACCACTGTAAAGTCTTAGTCACTCATTGCACATCTTCCTCTGCTAACAGCCCTGTGCACTGTTAATGTCTTTACTTATCAGGCCTGTAGCTGTAGTATGTCATCTTTATGTTGTAATTTCTTGAGCCTCTCTCCTGAAAGATTTAAAAAATGAAGTTTTTTTTATTTAGAGTGGGGTGCGTGTGAAATGGTTTGATGAATATTTTACGTGAATTAAGAGAGAATCGGCTTTGGTTTTGAATGTTTTGTACATATTGCTTTAAATGTTTTAAAACTATGCAGATAGATATAGTTAACTTATTTTGTAGAAACAGGCATGATATAGGTAAAATTAAACAATTGGCAGGCACATAAAATATTGACATGTTGAGCATGCATGTTTCTTTTCAGGTATCGAACTTGTGTTGTGCACTAGAATGTTCTTAATTATTGTTTTATTTGGAACGTAACATTTGTTCATCTTGATTTGGGTTGTCATGGCTCTTAGATCATGGGAAATAGATGTTGGACTCGGACAATAATGTTTAAACAGATTTATAAAAAAACAACTAACTTATGAGGTGTTGCTGATTCAAGGCCCTACAGCCGCACAGAGATTGTTAACAATGCAGAACCACAGATTGTGTTGGCCTTTTGGCAGCATAAGACGACTTTGTATGTTAGAATGTTCTTATTTGCCGATGTTATTGTTATAAGAGCAGAATAATAAATTTTGTGCATCCATTTGATGAAAAACCTTTTTTTAAGTCTATGAATTTATTTGATATAAAAGAATTCTACCTGCAAACATCTACTTATTTTATTAGATGGTGATTACAGGTATTAAATACACTTGAATTTGGTCGAGTTGGAGTCACAAGTTGTGATAATTCTGCAATGTTGGAAAGAAGGTGAGACTTTTTATTGCATTTAATCTCAACAATAACTGTTATATTAACTGGTAATAGTCCATAATGTCTGTAAAAGGTTGTTGCTTGTTTGTTGACAGATCAATACAACGCAAGTGTCTTCTGTCCCCGTCCTGGCCGTCGATCATGGAGTAGTCTACTTCTGACACACTGATGTCTATGTGTGTTCTGCATCTGGATACATGGAGCAACAAGTTTGCTGATGTTAGCTGAAGAGAGGAAAGACAGAGAGAAGGTAAGGTTGACTTTAGTTCAAGACAAATGGATAACCTTAAAATCAGCTTGGATACAAGATTTTACCTTTACATTTTTATGGAGTACAGATATCCATTCTTCATCATAATATTGTAAAACTGCTGTACCTCTCTGTCCATCTATATCCTGCTCCCTCTGTATTAAATAAAGTTTCATGCTGAGTTATGTTCCCTAACGTTCACCTTTCTCTCTCGGTTAATGATTAAACCCAGTGAAGCCTGTTGAAGGAGACAACCCCATAGCACTGCTGTGTGACTTTGAGGACCTGTAAGTTTCTCCACTATTTTAACTTTCTGAGCAAAACTTTAAAAGCTAAAGTGCATCCACTCTCAGGAATTTAAGTTCTCTGTCACTATGATGGATTTCTCTCAGCTGGATTCCCGAGAGGACAGAGGTCTGTCTGCAGGGCTCTTCTTTGCATGCATTTCCAGTCCTGACAGTGGAGCGAATATACATATATAGCTGACCTGAGAGCGGAGCCTGCACCTGTCAGGACCCCAAAGAGGAGCCCTGCAGATGGACCAGTTAGACAGATCTGTTCAGATCTGAGGGAGAAAGGTTGATGCGAGGGGGGTTTGACACATTGAGTCAACCCGACAGTTGTATTAAACAGCTAGATGTAGAATGTAGGCTGTATAAAAGGTAAATAGACAGCTGATTAACTAAATACTCATGTAGGCTAAAGGCGTGTTGCTTCACTGTTTTCTTATCAGTTACTGTACTCCTGAATGCTGCAGCACCTGCTTTCAAAAAGAAGAATCCAGACTGTGTTCAAACAGTGGTGTATTAGCCGTCTGGTTTAGGACTAAGTCCAGTTGGCCTTCAAGTTTTTACTGGCCCTGTCAGTGTCTTCACTAGCCCTCTCTTTGTGCTCGTCACACAGGGTGCTCATGACGACTGTGCCACTTACACCCAAATGAATGTGTGTTAACATTGTTGACTAATGCAACAGTAGGAGAGACACACACACACGTTCACCCGCCCTCCTTCAGTCAGAAGATTTCTATTAGTTGGATGAGGTGGGTGCAGCAGGCAATCAACAAAAATAGACAAACAAGTCCTTGGACACAAATACACTTCCAGCTGAGCATCCATCATAAGACCAACTAGCTGCATTACCCCATGGACGAGCCTGATGCTCATATATAGCTATGATTACTGAGTCCTCTCTGTGAGCCATTTATTGTGTCTTAGCAGCTGCACTTCCTCAATGATGGTCAAGGGAATGGAAACAGAAATATAGACTGCTGTGTCAGCATTGTGTGTGTGTGTGTGTGTGTGTGTGTGTGTGTGTGTGTGTGTGTGTGTGTGTGTGTGTGTCATACAGCTGAGACATGAAAACAATGTGTAGATATATCTGAATGATAAAGCCGTTTTGCTTGTTACCAACTGTCTCCCTAATATGCGGGTTGTGCACATTCTGTCAGAAGTTTGACTTAAATAATTTCACTTTTCTGAGGTGAAACCCAAGGGTCTCATTCTCAGAAGTTTTTGCAACAAAAACTGGATAATTATACCTGATCGACTGCGTTTCTTTTAGCTCTGCAGCACAGTCTCCCCAACAATTTCATGCTCATACAGAGGTGTGGAAAATGTCTGTGCATCAGCATTAATTGAGCACAACATTAAACTGTTTGTGAACACGCTACTTTGATGCTTTTAAACTGTCTAATTTAAACCTATAACTTAACCATTCAATTTGAATCATATTGAGAAGCACTCTCAAGGCACATTAGAGAGAAAGCTCATTCCTATAATATTATAGAAAGAAACTCAGTAATCAAAAGAAACTATAGCTGACTGATGGAAAAAGGTCAGTGGTGATCGAGAATCACATCAAACTTTAATGGGTTCTTTCTTGACCCATGTCCAATCCTTTCACCAGGTAGTATATCGGCATTTGTTGTGTAATCCTGCCGACAAACAAACCAATGGACAGGGATGAAAACATAACCTGCTCAGTGGAGGTAATACTGACATGATCCAACCAGCAGCTGCTGCCTGTGTAACCAAAGCCTGATCTACTGCCACTTGTGCCGTAGAGCATCCTTGTTGTCAGGACACTATTAAAAGCACATTAATAAGATAAAATCATTGCATCTGGTGGCATTTTCCTTCATTTCCATGAACAATGAGTTGAACGCACGTAAACCGACCTGCTGCCATAAACACTCATTGTACAACAAATGCCAGTGAATCGAGTTGTAAGAAAAGTTCCCAAAAATGTATCATTTAAGCCTTTTTAGCAAAGTTTGCTCAAATCTAGAGTGACCTGTTTTTAAGATTAACATCATAAGAAAGAACAAATGGATTAACTAAGAGCCAGTGTCAGGCCTGGGAAATTAGACTATATTTAGAGATGGACACTGCCTTGTTGTTTTTGTCTTTTCATGGGATTTGTTTGTACATGTTGATGCGGAACTGTACTTAGCTATAATTGTTTGAAAGACAAGAGTCAAGCAGATATTCTTAGATTTCTCTGAATCTGTTTTGTCCTGCTGGTAAAACTGCTTTCTCACGAGGGTGGATTCATATTGCAGTGGGGATCATCTGGATGCCACATTGCCGCTTATTGCTTTGACCATGTAATTAAATGTTAGTCATCATTGGTCTGAGTTAAATAACCGTACGAGAAAAGAACATTTGGGAGTATTTTACCTCGCTGCAGGACACAAACAGTTTAATGTCTCCCTGTGAGTTTGTTATAAAGTAAGAGTTCCCACCCTTTAGCGACTTCTAAAGTGTCCTGTCTTGTTTTGGTTTTGTTTTCCAGAACACAGCAGTAGAACGTAACAGTTACTGAGGCCTAACAAAAAAAAAACCTCTTCCCAGTGTGGAAAATTCCATGTTTCCAGTCTGAAATAAACATTGACCACTAGATGGTGACAGAGACAAGGATCCGCAGAGATGCCAAACCACCTCTGCTGATGTTGCATGAATTTGTTGACTGGTGTGTCATGCCAGTGGCGCCAGCGTGCCTCTGTCTCATCTCACCACCAGCATGATGAGTAATATCAAGCTCTGCATCGTCCACCGTGACCATCAGGGTGGTTTTTAGTGCTCGATACTCTTTTCTTCCTGTTTTTCCTGCAGAATGCTGGTGACCCAGCTGTATTTGACCAACGTCTGTGCTCATTGGACAAGAGCAATGATGGAGAGCTCAACTTCCTAGCGTTCTGGCAGCTGATTGGGGCATCTTGCAGGGAAACATGGAGGGTTTTCAGCCAATGGTGTGTCCCCAGATGCTCTTTTACGGTTTTACATGTGTCACTGACTTGTCTGTGTGCCATACAGCTTGCAAAAAAATAGGGAAATCAGCCAAATGGAAAACACCCTAAAGTCTTTTTCAGCTCCATAACACTGTGTTTTTATCAGTGGGCTGCCTTTTCTTTTTCACCCTGTTCCCTCAGTAACTGCTGCCAAACTGGCACTCACTCTGTCACTGAATACTATTGAACGATTTCAGCAGTTTGAAAACCAGTCCAGGCTGTTAGCTATCACTCACACACTCATACATTCCCAGCTGCTTGTGCTTACAGGTCTGCAAGGGTGTTGTAGAGTGGGAATTGCACTTTCTGGGAGCTGACAATGTGTGTATAAGCATTATGTGTTCTTGGCTTGAACACGCCTGTGTTTGTCGTCTCTCTCCAGGACACAAACCCAGTTGTGGTGTTGGCACAGCTGGATTTAAGGCTGGAAAATAAAATCTAAATGAAATTAAAAAAAAAAAAATGTTCCTCTTGCCTCCCATGTCTTCATTTGTGAATTTGTTCACTGTGGATTCCCTTCTTGTTTTCCCTGTGCACAAGTGAGTGAAGTTCCAGGGTGTGGCTTTTGAATACATCTGTCTTTTGGGAAAGCTCTGAACACGCACACTAAGACATGTTGAAACTATGTGTCAGTAGGAAAATCAGAAGACTTGCATGTGCTCATATAAAACAGAGGAAAAAGGTGTAAAGATTGAAACCACACTGTGTGTTCTCCTGTAGCTTTGTGAGGGGAAATGCTGCTGAAAAGCGCTGTTGTTGCTCAAGCTGCTCCTCTTTCCACATTCCTTCTCTCTCAGGCACACGCCCTATGACAATGAAAAAAAAGGAGAGAGAGAGAGCTGGCTGGAGTGCGAAGTTAAATCACGGAAAAGATATGTGTTGCTGCTTAATCCAGCCCAGGACTGAAGAGGAGGATCACTGAGAGAGAAGGAGAACACAAACTCATTCGTCTTTTGTTCCCTGACATAACGGTGAGTCCGCTTTATTTCCATTTTCTCCTCTCCCCTCTCTTTCTGTGGTGACTGTGTGTCTTTACTTCGTCTGTAATGTTTTCATAATGAGTCCAAACTGCTTCAAAGTTACATTTTTAGCTCATTTCCTCCAGCGTGTCATCAATGTTGTACCATCTGGGAGCGTCTCTCTCTATTGTCATTGCCCAGCTTGGTGGACACAGGGATCGGGTTCCTCTTGGTAATCTAACTCCAATCCTGTTACACTTCCAGAGAAACCGGAGGCTCGAGTAACGTTGACTTATTTATTTGTTTTGTGTCACTCCTGCCTCTGGCCGCTCTACAAATTGTCAGGATTAGTTCGGGCTAAATGTAAATGTGGGACAAACCCCGCCGTGACAGCTCTGGTTTTACGCACGACGCGGACTGGCCCTGGTCACGGGACAGTACGCACCGCCGAGGCCGGGCCGGGCCGTTACCACCCCGGGAATCAGTCACCATGCTGCGGGGCTGCTGTGGTTTAGTCACCGCGGTCTTATGTAGGATTATCATTGTGAATGATTCACGTTAAAATGAGACAGGAGTGGCTTCATCCTGATGCGCATCATGACGCGCAGGGGAAGCAGCCACCTGGTCACAGACGGGTAAGAAGAAGGAAGTGAGTCAGTTCCACCTGAAGCAAACAACACGAGTGGATCTGATCGATGATCTGATCACTGATCGATACTCGTCCGCATAAGGACCCATGGTGGTCTATGGTCGTTAAGAGTGAGGTGTCAGTCCCTGCTCCAACGTTTTCTGGCACTTTGCGCCAGCTCTGTGGGTGGTGACCTCACCTGACATGAGCAAACTGGTTTGCACGATCCCACTCATCCTCATGTGCGTGTGCTCTTGAGCAAGACACTGAGCATGAATTGTAATTCTGACTTGTACGGTGGCCCAGAGAGCTCAACAGATTAATGCTCGCAAATAGATAAAAGCAAATGAAGAAACAACTTCATCAGTAGGAAGTTCTGCAAAAAGTCACAACACAAGCAAACTCAGAAAACATCATCAATATGACGACGCACGTGCTGCAAAAAAAGTCTCAACACATGCAAATGCAGAAATGCATCCCAAATAGAATTTTTTCCTGGAATCCAAAAGAAAAAAACGTGACTTTATTGAAGTCTGTGACTCGTCATTGGTGATGGAACTGAACATAGATTCACTGTATGAATGATTTAATGTAACATATCTGAGAGATGTGCAAATAGGATTAGGGAAATAAAAAATAACTGAAGGATTTTCAAGCAGAATATTGAACCTCTGGGTCACAATTCAAACACCAATGACGCACAATATTGCACATATTCATTATTAACTACTATAACTATTAACTGTTTAACCAGATAATTGGGATTGTAAATGTATGCAGAGGAAATACAACCCCCCCTTAAAATCCATAAATTGTTCCACACCAAAGTCTAATGGGTTCTTCTTTGGGTCAAGCCTCACACCACTTTTTGTGTAAACCTGCTAATTAACTAACAAACACAAAGGAACTTTAGGAGATATAGAGAGCTATAGAGAAATCTATCACCTTATAAATTCAAATCTTGAAAGAACCAGAATCCATCCATCCATGCACCCTTTATGAGCTATACTGTTTATCCTGTGGGTGGGGCTGGAGTCAATAGAAACCGAATCCTTAAGCAGCTTCCCTAATTTGATATTGCTCAACCTTTTCACCATATTGTCATGAATTATCAAAATTCGAAACCAGCTAGAGCAGCAGTTTCCAGTTCCGGTCATAATAACATCAAAGCCTCGCTCTGTACTTAGAACTGCACTAAAAAATGTGTTGAAAAAAAATGGTTAAAACTATCACTCTTCTGGGTCATCTTGTGACAATGGGTCATATTTATTTTAATATGTCCGGAGGCAAAAAGACAGGAAGCCACAAAGTGAGCATTTGTTTGGTGCAAAACTTTTAAAATGCCACACATGCAAATTGGACACAAGCTTTCACCACACTTCAGTCATTACGATCGCAATCACCACTCTATCTGAGTGCTGTGAGGCTGCAGGAGAACTTCATGTGTCCTTGGTGCACACTCGCTGTGAGGCCGCCTCCTGCTCTTATCACACAAACACATGCTTCATTCTGCCCCATGTGTAATTCTGAGGCCCGATGTCTCCAGTTCTGACCAAAGGCGTCCTGGTTTCATGTTTATCTCATTAAACTAGAAAGAGACTCTCATGGATGGTGCAGGCCTGTCAGACATTTTGATGTATAGCCTGTACACACACACACACACACACACACACACA